GATGGGGGGTGGGGGGTTGTTACTTTATGAGGGTGAAAAGGGTAACTATTGCATTGTTCTGTACACCTGAAACTAACAATAAATAAATTTAAAAAAAAAAACAAAAAAAAACAAAAAAAAATATCTTTGTAAAATATACAATAGCTTAGTCGTTAACTCCAATGCTGATTGGCCTAAACATTAAAAAAACACAAAGGAAAAAGTAACTGATGATCGATTATTAGTCTTTGAAGGACAATTTTAAATATTTTAATTTTTATTAATTATCAGTGTTTTTCTAGTTGTTTAAAATCTACAACAATAAATGGTCAAAATGCATAACATAGCCTCAAAAATCAAACAACTCAGTATGAGTAAATGATAAGAAATAGCCATCAAACTTTTATCTAAAAGAACAAGGAATATCATATATACACACACACACACACACACACACACACATACACACATTTTAAGAAAGGAAAAACTGTATTAAAATTATGCTGATGATAACCACTTTGAGCACCTCCTGTAATTGCAGAAGTCAAACGTGACTTGTACTCATCTTTTGTTAATGGTATATATTAAGTATTATAATTTTAATAGTTTTTTCCTTTCTTAAAATGTATATACATATTTTTGGGCACCCTCTGTATAGAGACCTGAAGGTTTTAAGTACTTTAAGGGGATAGTCTGGTGACCAAATAAAGGAAATGTCATGACAAAGTTGTATTTCATTTGAGGATACTCATCTCTGAAAGGGAATGCTATACTCGTATGTCAGGAAAGTATGTAGGGAAAATTAAAGAAATACAATTCAGTGGGTTGCTATTTCTCATTGGATATATGTGTTATTAGTTACCAATTATAATTACAATAATTATGGACAAGGATTCAGAAGACCTAGATCTTCTAGTCTGAGTTCTGTTATCCAGAAGATTTGAGAAAAAACTTTTCCGTTTAAGGGAGGAATCTTATTCCAGTGTCTTTATGCAGTTTTATTACCTACTATTTTACTTGTACTCAGTTTTATCATCTGTATAATGAAACTAACTTAGGTGGTTTCATTTTTTTAAAGTGTGGTCTTATGACCACCTATGTTTCAAACATTGACAAAATATTTCTCAAACTTAAATGTGGAGTCACCTGGGGATCTTTTTAAGATACAGATTCTGATTTCATAGGTCTGTGATAAAGCCTGAAATTCTCTTCCAATAAGCTCCCAGGTAAAGCCATGCTTCTGTGTTCCTGTTTGACTAGCAGGGATGTTATTTTTTTAAGAAATTATGGGGCCGGCCGAGTGGCGCGATGGTTAAGAACTCGCTTGGGATGCCAGAGGGCCCCGGTTCGGATCCCACATATGAGGACCAGTGACACTGCCCTC